ATCGAGTGATGTGATATATGATTTTAAAATGCACAGGTTTTATGGATGTGAATTTGAATAGAATGTTTTTCAGTGTCCTCAAACGTTAGTTTGGATCCTGGATTGATCCGTGATGAAAATTTTAAAAAAATCATGGATATTTTGAGGGGCGTGACAGGGCCGACCGGACACGAGGCAATGGAGGGAGCTTTGGAAGTGGCGTTTGAGCCCGAGCGGATGGCTCCTGCCACCGCAGTGGTTGAATCGTAGGTGGGTGCGTCGGGTGAGAGGCGAGCGGGATAATGGTCTACACCATCCCCGTTAGAGTTCGGACTTGATGAGCGAGGTCCTGGAAGGCCTCGGACGACACGGCCAATGGGTCGGCTGGTATACCTTCAGGTGGCGACAAGCCCGGGTCGTTAAATAACCGCCAATAGCGCTCTGAGGTCGCGATGGGGTGCTCTTCTCGAGGTTGGTCATTCGGGGGGTGATCCCTCGTAGCCCCGATCAAGCGTGACCCCTCGTAGCCCCGATCAGGCGTGACCCCTCAACTGTAGGTTCGTCTGAGTCGATCTGTCGATCCCTCGACATTCAGGCCCTCCTTCTAGTGCCAAAAATATTGGTGTCAATAACTTTAAGCCGTGGCCTCGGGGCCAACACGGCTGGGTTCGAGTCCGAATGATTGGGGATCTTCCTGAGCGACCCTTGAGATTGTTGAGGTAGCTGATTGCGGTGGTTCGATCGCGACGGGACAACTGTTTCCTCTATAAGGGAACTCCTCGCCTGGGCACGCGGTGGGAGGCGCTCCGTCTTCGTCCCTGCACACAGTGGATAGTTTTAGGGGGTTTTTTTCCCTTTGTTTTTCTCCTCCTCCTCTTTCTGAGCGCGAGGGTTTTTATAGGAAAAGTTATCATTGCCTGATGTGCCCGCTCGTAGAGAGTAGGATCGTACTCCTGGTAACGTCTGACACCGGTGTTGGCGTGGCGTGAACGACCAGGCTCGCGCAGGATGTTAATGTGTCTCGATCGGTGTTCCAGTATGTTTTGGCCAGGTGCTGTCAGGTCAACCGAGGCGCGAGGCGTCATCCGGGCGCAGTTGACGTTAACCCGCGTCCCATCGCCATTATTGCCCTCATCACTTATAATCACTTTTACGAAATTCATGTTACAAATAACGTTATAATATAATTATCTTTATAGAATGTAATGTAGAGGAATTATGAAAATCGATCATTTATAGTGTTTTTAAAAAATGTTTTCTTTACAATATTTTATAAATACAAATATAAAAAAAGAAAACACATTTTAATATTTTTGGACTCCATGAAGCAAATGATGCCTTAATGTAATTGTGTATATGGTATATAATGTAATAAATAAAAAATGAAAATATTGCCTTTATAATATTTTTATATTATCTTTATAGTGTTTTAAAAATATGAATGAAAAATATTATTAATGCTTCATAAAAGCACTATAACGATATCCTTTAATCACTTATTTAGAGTTACGATGCAAATGGTGTTCTAGTGTATTTCGATGTAACCACTTGTGTATATGGTATGTACTATATATAATGAATAGAAAATTTTAGAAATATAACATAGTATTTCGATGTAACGTTTATGATGTCTTATAAATTTGAACAAAAATAGTGTAAACATTAAATAAAAACACTTTAAATATATTTTCAATAATTATTTTAGAATCCATGGATGTAAATGATGTCTAGAAATAATTTTATTATTTGTTTCCTGTATATTTTCTTTATATATATATATATATATATATATATATGTTTGTGGAGATGATGCTTGTCTGAATGATATATTCTTCATTTTGCGATAACATTGATAATAAAAAAGAAATGAGCTAGCAGACATGAGTCGATGGCCAATAATAAAAAATATCACTCGTATTAAGGATAAAAATAATAATCAAATTCAAGCTCAGTTATCTAGATTTGACTTAAATAATCATATTTTTGAGATAAAAAATAATGATATAATTAAAAAAAATATTAAAAATTTATCGATTCGAAACAAAGATTCTAAAACCAACTCTTGCCGATTCACTCTGGTCAGATCTAAAGAGTTAAAATATCTAACTCATTAATCAAAAGTCACTAATGTAGATTTCTTAATCACATTTTAATGGCCCACGAATCAGAGTACCGAAAGAGCGCTTCAACACTGGAGCGTCAGCGGGCTAACAAAGAATGGTTTGAACAGCTCGGATGCAGATCCAAAGAAAGACTAGTCTAACCGAGTAACAAGAATCCATCAATCTTGGGCATTGGTGAACCCTCCTCGTCCTGGCATTGACACGCGTTTGTTACCCAGCCCATGGTTTTGACAGATAATCAAAAACAGGAAAAACAATACTTGTTAGAACAAATGTAATCAGCATTTCATCACATTAAAAGATGATGTCAACTAGTGATCATTCCAAAAAAGATGAAGAAACCATGGAAAAACTACAGAATTCCTGTCAAGCACCATATGCTGAAGCCACTAGAACCAAAAATAACGGTGGAAACCATCTTAAAGAACAAAACTGCTATATATTTTCACTTACAATGAGACATTTACTCATACAAGAAAGCTTCGAGTACAAGAGGTTCTCAACCAGAAGAATTAAAATTACCACTACTCATATCTACTTATGGACTTCCCAATGAGACATTATTCAGACCGGAACTGACATGCCCTTGCTTGTCATACTATCAAGTATGTCATTAAGCGCTTGACAGAGCCCTGCAATCTGTATGAAATGGAAAATAAGTGTAAGAATCATACAACACGTGTTAGTCTCATGAAACCAATCGTTGTCCAGAACGAATCATAAAATTAAGTTGACAGTGACCATTTAGCAGAAAATATCAAAAGTCTAGTTTATACTGTTAAAGAATCATGCCTGCATATCTATATAGCTCAACCAAATTAGACAATGCTGATCAGGATGTGTTCTATGTTCAATTTGCATTTGAGAATCAAAAGCAGTTGTAAACAATGAAAATCGATCCCACTGGAACTAGCTTTGAATTCATTAGTGTGTACATGACACCGCATCATCTGTATCAGAGAAGATGGTTACGCCAGAAAAAGCAAGTTCAACCAAGACTCACCTGTTGATCCCATTGTTGCAACTCCTCAGTGTCATCCTCAAAATGTATGACAGCTTCAACCTGCAAGAGAATACTGCAGAATTAAATATTCATGTAGCAATATCCACAAGAGCATTACCAAAATGAAATTTATAGTGTCAAACCCACATGAAAAGGTTACTTATTTTTCATTTGACTGAACAAAATGAATGTGTAGCTATATATCTAGTCTTTAGCTAAACAAAGTTTGGATCTTTGCCTAGCAAATTGTCTCAAGCACCCGACCTTCTATTGTTTTATTACGTCTCTTTTCTCGAAAAAGCAGTTGACCAGAAGTATGATTGAAAAAATTGTGGAGCAAATTGTTCTTGTTATCCTTATATAAGAGTATCTTACCTGGTCGATTGATCCCCTCATTCGGTCCTCATATATCATTCTTGCAGCAATCTTTTCAGCCTACAAAAGTATTGGCTGAAGTGTGTCAAAATAAGATATTCAACATTTTCCAAATGTGACAATATAGTCCAATGGAACAAGGTACTTGAACAATTTCCCAGAAGAACAGTCTACAAGTCAAAGATGATTCTAGTATACATAAATCTGGTATAAATTGCTCTGGAATAATCATTAAAATAAAGCAACAAGAATTAGCATCAGAGTCCAGAAATAAGCACAGATATTGGAGCATCAACAGAATCTGAATATGAGTTTTCAGATTAATCGGCAAAAAACAGATTTTGGTTGTGCATAACAAAAAATCATAGCCAGGTTTAATTTTGCTGACTTAAACATAACCAAATAAGAGAAATGATCAAAACCCAGATCATAGGTTCAGCACAGTTTATTATTCATTTTTATTTGTTGAGCAATGAGATCTCATCTCCATGTCCAGTGTAATCAATTTCTTGCCTCAACGGAAAACACTTTTTCACAACTAAATAAGTTGCTCAGGACTTGGTCAGATTTGGATACCTCTAATCTTTTGATAAATATAGAGGGCAAAAAACGTTAATCCAATTTATTCTTTTAGTCATCTGATCATCAGTGTGTTATGACAGGAAAGTAGCAGCAAGAAAGTGAGAACATCAAATGGCAAGTAAACAAAATATACTCGACATGATAAGGGGATAACCCATATTAGCAAGTACAAAGTTCATAATTGATCACATTATTATGGAATACAACTTTGACAACTTTAATATAAAACGATAAAAGTGATAAAATAACAAAAATCTGCATCATAACATCTGGCGATCCTGATCCCGATTAAATCTACAGAAAACGTACCTTTTGAGGAGGAATACCCAACAGTGTTCCTAGTTCCTCAAAACTGTTTGATAGAAGGAAAAATCAGTTTAACGTAGATCATACGTTAAATAAGGAACTACAGAAAAATGCTCTCTTCCCAACCTTATGTTTGTATATAATTTGCTGGCACTCAGAAGATTATGCTCAATCATCGCACGATCAAGCACCGTTGAATTGTCTGGTAAAAGTGCTTTCTGTTTAAAAACAAATATAACAGATGATAAGCATGATAGATGAGAGATAAGAAACAAAACTAATAGTTATGAAATATATGATTACCTGGTGTGGTTTCAGTTCCTCAGCAAATGCATCAATTTCTGGTTTCCTCAAGATTCTTTCAAGATTCACCTAAAATTAGCCATATTGATCCAAATTCTTCAGCAAATTCGAGGAAAAGAAAAGAACCTAACCAAACCAAGAGACTTGAAACAGGCAGTTACGATAAATAGAAGGAAAAGAAAATAAACTAACCAAACCCGAGAGACTTGAAAAAAGTGGGCATGGTAAAATACCTTCTGCAAAATCGGATAAATTTTCAGCTTTGAGCATCTCTCATCCTGAAAAAGGAGGGGAAATCAAGTTTCAATAAGGAAGCATGTTATTTGGTATGTCTCAGCTTTAAATTATGCAGGCTTCTAAGATACCGGTTATCCCAGAAGCAACCATCACAAAAGAAGATATTGGTATAAGCATTTTGTAAAGCATTTAAAATTTACATCGGCTTTTATGTCTATTAGAATAAACTAAACAGAGCACATAAAAATGAGGTGATTTTTTTATCAGTTTTTTATCAGTATAATCCACATCCAAAAAGAGTCTTTCAGTGATATTAAAACTATATTTTCCTTCCATATAATATCTTCTTTTGTGCCCATTACATTTATCATCATAATAATAAGCAATTAGATTTTTCCTGTATCTTATTTTGGTTAATACAGCATGTTTAATCAAAATAAGATTTTTCATATATCAAACAAAGGTTGGGATTCAATATGTAAGACTTAAGTCATAATTACACAAAGACCATAAGGACAGATCAACCTGAATAAGTGGAAGGTGAAATCCTACCCTTGACAATAGTTCACCAACACAGCTACTCCAAGCCCAAGCATGAAGAATATGAATTTCATATCTTGAAAAATGAAACTTTTCTAGTATGCTTTCATAACAAGGACAAATACAATATATCTATAGAAACTTGGCAGTTTCAAGAGCTTTAAGAACAAGGAATTAGCCCAACAGGAAACATTTTTTCAGATGTCATTGAAGAAAGAAAGACTTCATAAAAAAATAAAAGGGCATATTCTAGAAATTCCACATCTTCTTAGTCTTGAATTAAGCTCCCAAAGCTATTCCCATCTCCTGTACATTCAAGTTAGACATCAAATATCTCCCATACCAATCATGACAGACCAGTATTTACCAATCCATACATATAATCTTCTAAGTAATTTTGCAACAACACTATTGGCAATTATACATTTTCCTATTTTATTCTCTCATCAACATGCTCACTCCCCCGTCTTCTCTCCTTGACCAGATCATGGTTTCCTCCAACTGGTATGCGTTTTCCTTTTCCTCCAGCCTCCATCTCCTCTTCCTCCTGTTTTGCTGCCTCCTCAGCTAGTCCTCTTCTCCTTCACCTCCTCCTCATCCCCTCTTCTCTCCCTCTTTCTCTCAGGTCCAGGTGGTACTAACTCATATCTGCTATCGATACATCAGCCTGTATTTGGTGATGACCAAACAACCGTAGAAATTAACAATGTATTTGAGTATGTACTTGGTCCAGTCCCCCTTTAGCAAATGCCCTTTTGCTCTAAAAGCATGATCAAATGATCTTACTAAAATCATCTATGGGGTAGGCTTCTAGGAAAAACCATGACAAAATAAATTGTAGTATGTCTCCTATCCTTATCACGAAGGCTTACCATTGTTTGAAACATTAAGAAGGTCATTATATTTAATCAATCTCATCTTACATTGAATACAGAAGACAGCAAAAAGTACAAAGTACCATACTTGGTCATGGAAGCTTTTATGAATTAGCCAAAAACAAACCAAAGTTGAGCTTAGATACATTAATCATGTCAATCATTTAGTAGAGCTGATTTTCATGTTTGAAAAATCATTCAGTCAGAAAAAAAAAAATTAGTCTACCAAATTACTCAGGAAAAGGAGGACATTTTCATGGTGAACTAATATTCACAGATACCTTATACAAAGTAGCAAGAACACGAGACCGTTGAGGTCCTGCAGCAGCCAATATTGTGCATGTCACGGCAGCACTAAGAGCTTGCTCCAGTGCATCCTCATCAATCTCCCTGAGATTTGTTACTGTCAAATTCACATTGGACTGGAGAACCTGATATGAAGAAATGCATAAAAAAACGCAGAAGAAACATGACAAGAGCATCCAATTCTTGATTCTAATTTTTATTATACCTCGTGAACCCCTTAGACATATCTCACAGACCATATTCACACCAACACTATTCAGTTCTTCAAAAAATGGCAACAAAGCACATGTGATTCCATATTTTAGAGTCTGGAAAATCAAATTTATGTAGCTCTACCATCATATGAGAAACGGCTACCTCCATGATTCAAACACAAGTATGCTGGGAGCAACAAGCATTCCACTAGGGGCCCCAATCAAATATTCAATATAGAAACACACACACACACACAAATATATATATATATATATATATATATATATATATATATATATATATATATCACAAAGAAAGTCATAATAAAAGCTTAGGTAAGATTTACATATTCTAAAGATCAAGGTTTGACCTACCATATGAAACGGCACGAAGCGGACATTACACACCAGTCCACCAATTGACTGGTATGCAAACCACCCCATTTCGGGTGGTACACGAAGTATGTACTGATTGATACGGGTTGGAACCAATCAGAATTTTACTGATACTGACCCAAATCGTGTCTAGTTTGACCGTTGGTGCCTCTTTGGGGGCTTTAAAATCCCCCCCTCTCACCCAACAACAACAACACACACACCCCCCCCTCCCCTCCTCCCTCCTCCTCCCTCCTCCTCTCTC